GTTGAAGGTGTCTGTTAGGAAACACAGGCCCTGCAGTGTGACACAGCTTTATGCCTGTAGATACGCCATTGTGTTACAAACCTCAGCAAGAGGCTGTACGTTCTGTTTCGCTAACTCTTGAACAGAGACCGCTGCGTTTTACCAGACGGCTGTTGCTTCCTCTGAGGAGACGGTTCCACAGTATGCCACTGGGGCTGGCTGTTCAGGACCAACCCCTAACAAAGGACAGCCTTCCCCATCTTGTTAAGAAAAAAATATTTGTCAAAAACGACAAGATGACACGGGGTGTTTTGTAAGTTGCAAATGCAGTTAGTATTAATTTGGGTAGGGAAAAAAGTGTTTCTGAGTCCCTGCAGATTTCATTGCAGTGAGATTTCCCTGATGGTTAGTGTTCGTTCTCAGAACGCAATTCAGCAAGGCATTTCCCTTCTAGCTCTGGCTCCGGATTGTTTATGGAGCACTGAGAAAGCAGCCTGTAAATACCAACCCCCATGACTCCCCTCATCCGTTCTCATCCACTCTAAATGCTCAGGTTGTAGAGCCTGGGAACCATGCTGACCTCTGCTTCCCTGGCCTGTCTCCTAATGCTCCTCGCTTGGTTGACAGTGCTCAACTCGGTCCGGGCCTTTTTCTCTCCGTGATCACACCCTTGTCCCTGCTTCCCGTTGGGCCTGCGTGCAGGGCCCACGGCGTTCTTCACCCCAGCCACGTTTCCTGAGCTCCAGATGCATAACTGCACCTTGACGTGCACCTAGGAACACCGATGTCCCAAACTCAACTCCTGGTCTTCTCCTGAGGATGCACCCTCAGAGCTTCCTGCGCCGCGTCACAATCCCTGTGGCCGCACGCTTGTGGGACCTGGGTGTTACCCAGGGCCCCTCTCCCTGTCGTTCGATATCTCAAGCGTCCGTCAGCGTCTGTAATTCTCTGTCCACAGTGTCTGTCTCACTGTGTGCCCCTCCTCCTCTTCTGTCTGTGAGATGCCTCTGCTCCAGGCTGGCCTGCCACCCGAGATGCTTTCACCAGGACCCCCGACACTTTCCCCTCTCCAAGCTCCCTGCCTATTGCTCGGGACTGGTCTCTTCCAGACTGCAGGTCTGATCTTCTCACTGCCTCCTAAGCCACCTGATGGCCCCCAGTTCCATTCCCTAGGCATGCAAGATAAAAGAGTCCATACGTTTATTGATTTCAGACTCCCTGCTAGGGAAGGAAAGGTTTTCAGAAGGACAGCAAATTGAAGTAGAGAACAAAACACGCAGAGCCACAGGCTCATGTTCTCCTGGTCCCGTGCATTATTGCAGTCTCGTTATCACAAAGGAGCGGGGAACGGCTCAGCTGCTAACCCAAAGCTGCTCTGTCCGATCCCACAAGCTGTTTGCCAGGACAAAGACCGACAGGCTGCTTCTGTAGAGAGGACTGCCTTGGAAAGCCTGTGGGGCAGTTTCCATCTGTCCTATAAAGTCGCAGTGGGTCAGGATCAACTCAGTGGCAGTGGGTTTTTAGATGATCACGAGTGTTGGGAGTCTATGGGCTATTTGCTAATGCTGCTAGCCCTAGGGATTTATGAAGTCGGTGAGCTGGGCCTCTGGCTACCTCCCTGCCTTATCGTTTGGCTCCTACCTCACCCCATCATAAGAACGCCGTCCTCTTCTTGGTGCTGGAAGCCCTGGGAAGTGTACCCAAAGGCTGGCAGTTTGAGCCCACCCACAGGCACCTGGGAAGAAAGGTTTGGTGATCGGTTTCCGAAGATCACAGCCTCCCAGTGGAGCACAGGTCTACCCTGCGATGCCTGAGGCTCACCACCATGAGATGAGAGTGGCCGGAGGACGGCTGGTTTAGCTTTATTTTCTTGGCCTGTGCGCACGGATCCCCAAGAGCTTTGAGGCACCTTCTCCGCGGGGTTCAGCGCTGAGCACAGGCTAAGACAATCATCCGTAAAGCTTGGGTGAGGAGTGTCGTCCCAGCGAGGGTGGCGGATCGATTAGATACAGGCATCAGAGAAAATGTCTTTGGGAAGTTAACATTTCATTAAAACCCAAGTGCTGAGAATGGGCCAACCAGAGAAGCATTGGGGCCAGGGCATTCCAGACTGAGGGAGCAGCGCATGCAAATTTCCTGAGGAGGGAAACCGGTGAGCACGTTCTAGGAACTGGGAATGGAAAGCATACCACTGTAGATGTTCAAGAAGCAGATACATTGCTGGGAGCACTCACTCATCTGTGCCAAAGGCAGTCATTGGCCATCTGGCTGGAAGGTAGTCATATTTGTGTCCATTCGGCTGGAATTACCAAACGCTACCATTAATATCACATTCAAGTACAATTATGCGGAAGATAATTCAAAGCAGTTACGGCAGTCCGTCAACGGGAACTGCCGGGAGCGAGGCCGCGAAGAAGAGGACATGGAACGAGGGAGAGCATTGCTCCTGGCACCTGAGGCTGGGCTAACAGCAGGGCATAGCAGAAGGTGTTTACTGTGTGTTTTATTGACTGTGCAAAAGCATTTGACTGTGTGGACCACAATTGATTCTGGATAACGTGGCAAACAATAGGGATCGGAACACTGCATTGTGCTCATGCAGAACCTGTGTATAGACCAACGTTATTCTCAAAGAACAAGGGGACACCTCAGGAAAGGTGTGTGTCAGGCTTGTAGCCTTTCCCTATATCTATCTAGTTGATAGGCTGTGCACGTCATCTGGGCCGCTGGACTACATGAAGAAGTGTTGGAGGAAGAAGTGTTGGTATCCACATTGGAGGGAACCCCATTCATAATTTGTGATATGCAGGTAACCCAAATTTTCTTGCTGAAAGTGAAGCGGACTTGAAGCACTTCATGATGGAGATCTAAGACTCTAGCTTCAGTGTAAATAAAAGTCCTCGCCACCAGACCATTAAGCACCATCGTGATACGCGGAGCAAAGAGTGATGCTGTCAAGGATTTCATTTTACCTGATCCACCCTGTCCCCGTGGAAACAGAAGTCGAGAAATCAAGCAACACACTGCGTTGGGTAGCTCTGCTACAAAGATCTCCTCAACGTGTTCAACAGCAAAGATGCTACTTTTAGGACTGAGGTGCGTCTGACCCAAGTTGTGACCCTTTCAGTCACCTCTGCACCTGCAAAAGCTGGACCATGAATAAGCAATGCAGTCCTAAAATGAATGAGGAGGAGAGGTGAGGCATTATCCGGCAGATCCCGTCTGGCCACAGGCGAGCCAACCCCACAGCTTTCCTATCAGACAGAGATTATTGTAGACTTGATTGATGGTGGATCAAACCATGGTAAATATGATACTTGGCCAGTTGACCTCTCTCTTGACCTAACCAGAACTTAGTGTGGGCTCAACTATTTCTCGCGTGTTCCATACAGAAATTTCTTCTCTGGCTTTTAAAATATTGTTGGTAGTCTTTTCTCTCTTACTCTTTATTTTTATCCTGTATATTATTATTTTCTTCTTTCTGTTTCATTTTGTTTTTATTGTTTCTGCTAGGCTGCACAGTTTGTGCAACACAGAAGGAGGGGATGCATAGAGACAGTAACTGATGCGTGGTTTATAGGGACGGGGCATGAGAGGGTGCGTAAACGATGAATGCAGGAGGGGGTAGAGCACTAGAACTGATTGTGATGATGTAAATACAACTCTTTGTAAAAGTGATTTAGCTATGAACGTGTATGATATATGAATATTATATCAAGAAAGCTAGTAAAAAACTAGTAAAAAAAATAGAAACCAAACTTGACCAACGGTTACTGTGGGTGAAGGAAGAAGAGTTTTTATTTAAGGGCCATTGGGTTTATGTTAATGGTGGTGGAATAATTTGGAAAAGGTGATCAATAATGGTTATACAACATGAATACTATAATGATGGCATGAATTATACATGTAGAAGTTGTTGCATTGGAGAACGTTTTGTTTTGTATATTTTTGCCACAATTTTTAAAAAATTCATGTAATAATAATTACATGAATAACAATGAGTACCGGGAAGAAGAAAATGTTCTAAAATCAATTGTGGTGATGATTGTACAACTCTTCTTGATATGGTTGAACTATTGAATTGGATGACATGTGGATGAAGTGCCAATAAAACTGTACAAAAAAGATGAGACTTTCTCCTCCCGTAAAGAGTTACAGTCTGGCAACCCACAGGGGCTCTTCTACCCTGTTCTATGGGTTCGCTGTGAGTCAGCATCGCCTTGATGGCTGTGAGGTTGGTTTTTTAGTTTTTAGAAGAAGCAGCGATGCCTTTGAAGTATGGCGTTGTTAAAGAATATGCCAGAAAAATGGAAAAAGCGATCTGGGAAAAAGCACAACCAGAATGCTCCTTAGAAAGGAGAATGGTGAGACTTTGTCTCGTCTACTTTGGACATATTTCCAGAAGGGACCAGTCCCTGGAAAAGGGCATTATGCTTGGAAAAGTAGAGGGTCGATGGGAAAAGGAAGAGCCTTAACAAGACGGACGGATGCAATGCGGCCGAGCACTATGGCGGTTGTGAGGATGGTGAAGGAAGGCCTGGGAGTCTTGCTCTGTTTTACAAATGGTCCCTGTGAGTCAGAACGGACTAGAGTGACAACAGCGGAAACAGAAAAGGAGCCGCGCTGGCCCCGGGCCTGAGAGCTCGGCTGCTCACTGAAAGCTCTGTGGTGGCAACTCCTCCGTAAAAGATGAGGCAGGCAGCTTCCATGAAGATTACGTCTCGGAAACCCTGTGGGGCAGTTCTACTCTGTCCTATAGGGCCACTACGAGGCAGAATCCCTCCCACATCCAAATCCTTTGCTATCGTCCCAAAGACAATGAGTTTTTCTTGGCGGTTAATTTTGACTCACAGTGACCCTGTAAGACAAAGTAGAACTGCCCATAGGGTTGTAATCTTTATGGGGAAAAACGGCCCCATCTTTTGTCCTGTGGAGCTGCTGTTTGGTTCGTTGCTTCCTAATGCTCTGTAAATTAAATGCTTCCTTTTCTTTGTTCTATCGTCTACCCTGTTGGTTTGCAGGTTCTGTAAGTGCCCAATGTGACAACTCTGGACGGTGCAGCTGTAAACCAGGTGTGACAGGGGACAGATGTGACCGATGTCTGCCAGGCTTCCACATGCTCACCACCGCTGGCTGCACTCCAGACCAGAGACCCTTGTAAGCATCTGCTTGCTTCACGTGACTGCTACTGCCACTCATGCTAATTATGTTAGCATTAGCAACAGACTTCATGCTCACCGACGCTTAGCCCATATGCAAACACTCTTTTAAGAACCTTATATGGATCATCTAATTAAATCATCACTATAACTCTAAAAAGTTGAGAGTTATTGTCATGCCCATTTTATTTAATTTTTTAACAATTTTATTAGCATATAATTCACATGTCGTACAATTCAATAGTTCAGTCACATTAAAAAGAGTTGTACAATCATCATCACAATCAATATTAGAGCATTTTCTTCTTTCTTGCACTCATTGTTATTAACTCCCCATTTCTCCCCAACCTCCTCTGTTATACCCCCCAAGAAACCATCAATGTAGTCACTGTCTCTATTTCTTCACCCATCTTGGATTTCATATACAGAAAAACATACCAAAACAACAACAGCAACAATAACAGCTCAACAATAATAGTAAAGTAAAACAGAGAAAAACCAGAAAATATGAAAAACCAGAGCAAATTTAAATTGAGTCAAAAGGGGAGATTATATGTTCAAGTGCTAATGTTTAACCTAATTGAATCTGCAGTAATTCAGTTCCCACTGCACTCTGCATGATAGCAAATCTGTTCACATGCCTGGTCTGTGGTCAGAGGAGCGTCGCCATATGATGCTCATTTGGACATAGGAAATTTCAACCACGTGAGGCTCAAGGACGTTCCCCATGGTGCTGGTTGGTGGTTTGCACTCATCAGTTGCTCCGTGGGAGAAAGGTGTGGCGGTCGGCTTCCGAGCAGCTGACAGCCGAGGAAACCACATGGGGCAGTTCTAGTTGGTCCTACAGGCTCAGCCTCGAGTTGGAACCAGCTCCGAACAGCAATGGGTAGTGGTGAGGATAGCCCTAATCTTCAGGTCCAGAGACTTTGCCTCTGGGACCAATTCTCGTAACCCTGATACTTGCCTCCTTTAAGTTAGATGAACTTGGATGGGAGTCAAGAATTCTTCAAGTTCTAAATTAGGACCCATTTCTCTCCAACTGAGTTTGGGGTGAAAAGAAAAGAAAACAAAAATTCCCCATTATCTTGGTCCCCTTTGGTTCAGAGCCTCCTCAGATGCTTTCCTGGGGGGCTGCAGTACAGATTAGAGAAGTCTGCAGGGACACAGGACGGGCTCTGTTGTGACTGTGGCTCAAGACAATCAAGTGTGCTGGTCGTTTGACAGCAGCCTGGCTTGTTGGAAGAGGGGCGGGGTGGGTGGGGTGGGGGCAAGGGTGAGATGATGCTGACAACATAGACTGGGTGCAGGCCACAGACAGCCCAGCGAGCTCTCGGGTAAACACTGCTTAGCTTTGCCCCAGTGAAATCATGGCTCCCATTCCTAGAAGGGAGCAGACGCTCAGCAGAGGTTGCTGCGTGGGGCAGGAGGGTAAGAGGATGAAGAAATGCCCAACCGTTGTCTTAGCCTGACTCAGGGTTCTTAGTATAACCGAGTGGTTGGGCAGCTTAAAAAAGGAAGAGCTTGGGAGTGGAGCCCTAGGCTAGCAAGCTACCCGCAAAGGATAGCTGCCCCGTTGCCCACTCTTCCGTGTGAAAACTGCCCCAGCCATTCTTGCACTGCCCCAGTTAGCATTGCCCCAAGTCTCGTTTTCTCTGGGCTTTTGCCGTTTAGTCTTCTCCAAAGGAGATTTGCTGGTGTAACTGGGAAGCACCCAACGGCTAACCGAAAAGTCCGATCTTTAACCTACGCTACGGCTTCTTTGAAGGGAGACCTGTGAGGGTGGGAGGTACCTGCTTTCGTTGCGATTACAGCCTTCAAAACCCGTGGAGCAGTTCTCCTCGGCCACGAGGGGTTGCTATGAGTCCACCCTTGGCCCGCTGGGCCCGAACAAGTGTCTTCCATGATCTCTTTCAGACGATCTTCAGGGACTTTCCCTAGGACCACTCCCCTTTTGCCATCTGGACGAACAGGACGTAGGTCCTGTCTCTGCTCTGCTGCAGCCTTCTATCGTTAGCCTTGCAGTCCGGTTGAGATCAAGCTTCTGCTCAAGGCCCGCAGGCCCCCTAGAGACTGTCCCTGTCCCCTCCTGCCCCAGCCCTCTCCTTCCCATGAGCTCACCTGGGCTGCTCTGCTCCAGAGCACCTGGGCCTGCAGATAAGACAGAGCTTCCCGCCGCTCCGGCCCGCGATCGCCACCTCCTTGCAGCGCTGTCATTCTTCTCTGCCGCTCTTCTTCAAGCCTCTTCTTTTTCCATATGCTTCGAAAAGTTTGCGGAAAAGGGAATTAAAAGACAGTGACAATTTTCCGTGAACTTCTTAAAGCCCCTCGTATTGGTTTCTCTCCTACTAGAAGGTGAAGTCCGTGGCAGCTTTGTCTTGTGCCCTGCGGGAGCCAGATGCCTAGAGCAGCACGAGGCTGTCCAGCTGGGCTAAGTTGCCTTTGGGCTCCCCTCCCACTGCCCGTTCATCTGTCTGCCCTGCTGCAGGGCTGCTAGAGACCTGAGGCTGCTTCTGATTGCTCTCAGCATCCCCTCTGTTAGCACCGGGAGATGCCGAATGTGTGTTTGTTGAAGGGTCCAGAAGAGCAATGCAGGGGAACTAAGTCAGGAAGGAGGCCAGGGGAAGGGATAGATGAGGCTGGTGAGGATTTCTGGCCAGAAAACTAATAGGACTTGGCCTCTGATTGAAGGTGAGCAAGGGAGGAGTCAAGGGTGCCTGTTGCTGGGTGGGATTGGGGTGGGGTCACAGAGCACTGAGGGCGGCTCAGTCAGTAGAAAAAGACAAGCTTGACTTTAGACACACGCAATCGAGCTGTCGGATTGGGTGCCAACATGAGTGACAGAGAGCTGTGTTGCTCACAGCACGGATGGGACAGGATGGTGCTGCTATCAAATGGCTGCTTTCTTCATCCCAAAAGTCTTGCTACTAAAAAAAAGTCAACCAAATCCAGAAATTGTACTGGTGGGCAAATACTCAAGAGAAACGAACAAAAAACATACAAGCACACAAAAACTTATCATAACATTATCAAATAATAATAGCTAAAATGTGGAGAGAACCCCAATGTCCACTAACAAAGGCATGGAAGTGCAAAAAGTGGCATATTCGTACAATGGAATCTTATTCCGCCATAAGCAGGTATGACATACTGATGGATGAACTTCAAAAACATCACACTAAGTGAAAGAAGACAGGCACCACGGATGACATGTCATATGATTCTCCTCGTGAGAGCCACCCAGAACAGACACCTCCATATAGGCTGAATGTCCATGAGTGGTTGCCTGGGCTGAGAAACCGGGGCGTGGGGAACAAGGGTGTCTGATCTCCTAGTGAGGTGAGGAGCGCGTTCTGGAATTGCTGACAGCGATGGGCACACCAACAGCCACTTCCCAGTATTGGGAGCCCTCCAAGAATTTTTGGGGAAATCCATCTCTTTCAATTTCATGTTTCCCACACGCTTTTTAAAACTGCCTCAGCCATTTCAAATAGGCAACGTGCGCAGTATATGAATTAGCTCCTCAAAACAGTTTTTTAAAATTTAAATAAAATCACACCAGTAGATGTAGTCAATCATGATCAAAGTGAATGCCATTGAATTAAACAACAAAGATACAAATGGTGATTTAAAATTAAAAAGTTAGCTGAATCAATTAACCATGTTAAACTAAACAATTTAATAACACATGAGCTTTTCTAATCTGTCGCCCACACCTCTTCCCTTTCACTCAAAGCGTGGAGGGGGCCAGCCTGCAGAGCGCGCTATGGACAGCACTGGCATAGACAGTGTGGCGCTCTGAGGGTCCGAGGGCACCCCACCCACACAAGGAGCGCCAAGGTCTCACTGCAGAGGGAAGATGGCTCCGTTTGTGACGTCTGCTCCGGAGCAGTTGATGTACAGCATGGCAGAGCACTTGTAAATATAGCCCTAATTGTTTTCCCCCCTCTTTCCCCAGAGACCCCAAGTGCGACTGTGACCCAGCTGGCGTCAGTGGGCCCTGTGACACCAATGGCCGTTGTGTCTGCAAACCAGCTGTCACGGGAGAACGCTGTGATAGGTGTGTGTGTGTGACCTGTGACCTCATCAAGACAGTGCGGTCCTCTGAGTGGAAATATGAAGAGGGGCTACCTTGTATATGTGGAGGCCTTCTTCTTGCCCTCTATCCTATAAACACCAGGTTTCCAAAAAAACCCACTGACACTCCTCCACGCCCCTCTCAAATTTGATTCTGCCCTGAGCCCTCTTCCTTTGTCTTGGCTGAGGCAGGGCCTCAGTGGTTGCCCTTGCCAGCTGGCTTGAAGTCCCAGGTGCATGGATACAAGGTGGTATGCAATAATGAGATCACATGGCTCAGATTGGTCCCAGGTAAGGACTGGCCTAATTAGTCATGCTGGGAAAATCCTGGTAAGCAGGGCTGTCGGAGGGCATGGCCATATATAACCATCCAGCACAGAAAAGGAACTGCCCCAGGTTGGGATGGCGCCCACATGCACACACACACACGAATGGGGGACCTGCGAAGAGCTCTCTAGGTGCCACGCCATGTTGGGGCAGGTGGAGCTGGGAGGAGAGATCCACCCTCGGCGGCTGCCCCTGTGAGGCATTGCTGCAGCTCCCACTGTGCTCAGCCTCAGCGCCCCAGAGGGATGGCCTGCTCGCTTCCTTAGCGGTTCTTTGGCACCTTGCCAGTCGCTTACACCTGGGCGTTCCTAGCTTGTGTTTTCAGGGAGGTCTTTCCTGCTAAGGTGTGTGTGGAGGGAGGGGCATGCGTGGGGAGCGGGGAGCAGCTCGTTCTTGTGGTAAAAAGGGGAGTTATATTTTTACTCTACAAATCGAACACAGGAATGGAGAGCTGTATAAACCAAGGTTGTCTGCACCAACAGGGATCGCTGTTTTTGTTGTGCCGCCCAGAGGATCCCCGCTCCTCGTCACCCTCTCTGACCTAGTCGAATAACCCCCCCCACAGGGTTTCCCAGGCTGTCATCTTCAAAGCAGTAGATTGCGCAGTCTCCTCTCTTGCAGGGTGGCAGGTGGGTTCGAACCACCAATCTTTCCACCTTTTGTTTAGTAGCCAAATTCTTAACCCCTCCGTCACCAGGGCTCCTTCCAAACCAACACCAAGCTCACTGCCACTGAGCAGATTCTAACTCATAGCGCCCCTACAGGACAAGGTAGAACTGCTGCTGCGGGCTTCCCGACTGTAGCTCTACGCGAGTAGAAAGCCCCTTCTTTCCCCAGCAGAGAGGCTAGTGGGTTTGAACTGCTTGGTATTGTTAGTGGGTTTGAACCATGGCACCACCAGGGCTCCTTAGTGAACACAAATTTTTAGGAACCAAACTCACTGATGTCTGGTCGATTCTGACTCTCAGGGGCCCTATAGGACAGAGTAGAATTGCCTCCTGGGGCACTATCCTAACTTTTACGATAATCATTTCCTTTTCTTTGTAATGTATTACTCAAGAGTGGACCCCAAAGGACTATAGTTTTACCGTTTTCCCTTTCTCCCCTTCCCCTCCCTTCTCTCCTGTGCCCTCAGTAGGGTGGTTGTCGCTGTCCAGCAGGGGGCTGGGGGGACAATGGCATTTGAAAGTTGGTATTTCCTGCCTCTGGAAATGTATAGCATCTAGAAGAGGTGAGGAGTCCCTGAGAGGTGCAAGCAGTTGACTTGCTCATTTGTTAACCAAAAGGTTTATGGTTCAAGGCTCCTTGAAAGAAATCCCTGGGGATCTGCTTTCAATGGGAGCCCCACGGAACGCACTTCTATTCGCACACACTCAGGTCCCCGGGAATCAGAGTTGGCTTGACGGTGACTGCTTGGTGTTGGGTGAGAGAGGCAGGCAGAGAGGCCGAGGCCATTGGCAGAATCTCTACATGGAAAGAGAAGTAACTGGTCATACCGTTCTGCTCTTGACAATGCTGCTGCAGGTGTCATCCAGGTTATTATCATCTGGATGCGGGAAATCCTGAGGGCTGTGCCCACTGTTTCTGCTACGGGCATTCGGCCAGCTGCCACAGTTCGGAGGATTACAGCATCCACAAGATCACCTCCAGTTTCCAGCAAGGTGAGGGACTCCATTTCATAGATTTTTATCCTTACAGACAAGCTCCTTCCCATTCACACAGTGGGTCCTCTAAACATCTTTTTTTTTTTTTTTTAAATAATCATTTTATCAGGGGTTCATACAACTCATCACAATCTGTACATACATCATTTGTACATACGTTGACTTCATCATTCTCACAACACCCGCTTTCCCCTTGAGCCCTTAGTGTCAAAACATCTTTATCAACTCTCTTATCACTTAAGTTTGTTTATTTGGTCAGCGCAGTCAGGCGGAGCTCTTTAAAAGATGCCAGAGTCCCATCTCCCTGCATTTCCCTTGACCAACTATTTCAAGACCGCAGTCGAATTGTTCATGGGAATTAGAGAGTCGCCGAGAGTCTTCTTGAAGTCCGTATCTACTAACCCGAACTGCTTTCACAGCCTTCAATGAGGTGATTCATGGGAGATCAGTTGGCAAGCTGGAAAGCACTGTAAACATATCAGGACTGCAGATGATTTAAACTCAAAGCCCGGTTTCTCTTTGATCACGTTGAGCCCTCTTGCTTTACTAAGGTCATACGGGTTTCTGTAAATACAATAAAAATACAAATTATAGGCAGATGGAAGCTTTTCTTTTAGCACATGCACCAGACTCCATGATGAGCCAGCAAAGCAGGGAAGTGTGGATGGAGCTGAGACCTGAGTGGAGAAGTACAGGGACATTTGGAGGGTTGTACTTACGTGTGAAAGTAGTAAGACAACCTCGCTGCTCACTCAGGGCTTGGACTTTGGGCCAGCACACCTGGTCTTGTTTGAGGGTTTCCCCTGAATGTCGAATGGTTTGTGTTCCAGATGTTGAGGGCTGGAAGGCTGTCCGAAGAAGCGGGTCTCCTGCGAAGCTTCAGTGGTCCCAGAAGCACCTGGACGTGTTTAGCTCTTCCCGACGAGCAGACCCTGTCTATTTTTTAGCTCCAGGTATGTAGGCATAACTTTCTCTATCGAAACAAACTTAGCAAGACAAGGAAGCGAGGAGAGAGAAATGGAACTGGGAAATGTGGAAGCCCTCACAGTGTTCAAGGGAACTGTATCACTCGAAGATAGTTGGGGTATAAATTCAATTTGATGGAGCCATCAAGGCTCATAACACCATAGAGTAGATGGAACTGGGTGTCATGTGTCAAACCCTGGGCTGGTCTCCTACTTCCATCACATGAGAGGTTTCTGGGTTTCCCATTAAAGATGCTAAGTGGAAATTAAGTAGTATGCTCAATTTATGGATCTATTTGGAAGCAGCTAGAACAGTCAAGAATTTCTTAAAATTTTAGACAGCTGTGATTTGTAACAGTCAGTTTTCTGCACCTAGAAAAACTGTGGCTAGAACACTAATCCTGGTTCCCCGTCCTTGATGAACCATGTGTGATTCCTCAGGCTCTCTGAACTTCAGTTCTCTCATCTATAAAATGGAAATAATAATACCTTCTTCTGGTCACTACTGTCATCAAATGTGGGGATGTCTGTGAGAGAGCTTTGTAAATGGTAAATCCCGATACAACCAACGGCAACTGCTGACACCCTGTCATAGCACTGTCCTAAGAGGCATGCTACGAAGCATCTAACAGGAGGCGTTGCCTTACAAGGATGTCCTGAAGTATTTTAGTAACTAGCCCTCCTTCACAGTCACTAATATACATCCATTTCCAGTGCCGTGTGCTGGCTCTTTTGGTAGGATTGTTGGAGGCCAGGTGGCGAGTGGGTGTCACAGGGCTCCTCTGGAAAATGTCAACAGCATGCAAACTCGCTCACTGTCTACGACACCGGTTTCACAACTGACCTCAGCCTTTGAACATTCTTCACAGCCAAATTTCTCGGGAATCAGCACATAAGCTATGGACAAAACCTGTCCTTTGACTTCCGCGTGGACAGGGGAGGCAGACACCCATCTGCCCATGATGTGATCTTGGAAGGTGATGGTTTGCAGATCACGGCTCCCTTGATGCCCCTTGGCAAGACGCTACCTTGTGGGATCACCAAGACTTACACGTTCAGGTAAAGGGAGACCCTGGTGGGGTCAAAATGAGTGCACTGTGATCTCACGAGGTCCAGGTCTTTGTGCATTCATTTGATCATCATTCATTTATTCATTCAACAAGATTTGCTGAATGGTTTGTGCATACCAGATGTCGTTTTAGGACCAAACACAGGGCACGATCCTGTCATCAAGCTGTCTAATGGCAGAGGACAACTGATACAGTAGGTCAGGTGACAGGTGGACAAGGTTGACACGTAGTTTGAACAAACACAGTAGGTGCAACTGACCCATATTAGAATGGCCCAGGAGAGCTTCCTAGGAAATGTGACACATGAAGAGCAGTTCTGCGAGGCGAGAAAAGGGCAGACGATGTTCATATGGCAGAGGAGGAAGTATCATTTGTGTATTTTAGAAGTTCCAAGTGAGGCTGCTAATCGCAAGGTCAGTTCAAAACCACCAGCTGTTCTGCTAGGAGAAAGACGAAGCGTTCCACTGCTGTAAAGAATTACCATCTCAGAAACCCACAGGGTCCTACAGGGGGGCAGGGAGTGGCGCGAGTTTTTGAGAAGTAGCTGTGCATGAATTGTGCAGAAGTGGCCGGTTCACAGGGGCTCAGGAAGAGAGGAGTGAATGGTCACCTGCCTTAAGGAGTCCAGGAAAACTTCACAGAGGAGGCACCATGTGGTGGAACCTGAAAGGTGGGCAGAGCTGTCCCAGGGGGAAAAGTCAGCCTGCACATGGGAAAGAGTACATGGAAACGTGTGGAGGGGGAGCAAGCACACCGTGGGAGGGAAGGTACAGCGATTTGTGTGACTGGAGGGTAGCACGGGTTAGGGAGATGGAGAGAAGCGAACGTTGACAAAGCTGGAAAGGGACCCATCAGAGAGGCTTTGGATGTCTTTCTCGCACAAAGCAGCTGGTGGGTTCGAATCATTGGGAGACCCTCCATCCTGCCTAGTGACGCTTGAAGAGCTGTCCCCCGGTCGGCTGACCAGGACCACAAAGGGGTTTAGTCACTTTCTCAGGTCTCATTTGTATTAGGCAGGGATGTGATCAGAGTCACACTTTAAACTTTTGTCTTTAAATGATCTAGATTGAATGAACATCCTAGCAGTCATTGGAGGCCCCAGCTGAGCTATTTTGAGTATCGTCGGTTACTGCGAAACCTCACAGCCCTCCGGATCCGAGCGACCTACGGAGACTACAGTAAGTAGGCGACTAAGAGAAATGGCAGTCTCTGCTCGTAGGTTTCACTCTAATCTGCTTCAGCGCTCAATTCAGGTGGTGACAATCGCAACACAAGCAGGTACAAAACATGATGTTTTGAGGTCGTCTCTGATCTAGTTTAGGGAGCCCTGGTGGCTTTGTGTGTTAGGCACTGGGCTGCTAATCAAAGGGTTCGTGGTTCAAATCCACCAGTTGCTCCTTGGAAGAAAGAAGAGGCTATCTAGTCCCATAAAGATTAATGGCTTTGGGAACCCTAGTAGGGTTGCTGAGTTGGGATTGACTCCGTGGCTTGAGGTTTTTGTTTTTTTTAATCATTTTATTAGGGGCTCATACAACTTTTATCACAATCCATACATACATCAATTGTGTAAAGCACATCTGTACATTCATTGCCCTAATCATTCTCAAAACATTTGCTCTCCACTTAAGCCCCCGGCATCAGTTCCTCATTTATTCCTCTCCCTCCCCGTTCCCCGCTCCCTCATGAACCCTTGATAATTTATAAATTATTATTTTGTCATATCTTGCCCTGTCTGACACCTCCCTTCACCTACTTTTCTGTTGTCCGTCCCCCAGGGAGGAGGTCACATGGTGATCCTTGTAATC